ACCAATCCACTTATTTACGATCGGCTAGATAATATAACGATAATATAATTACACTACTCAGCATTTGAATCTACAAGGTCCCTGTGGATCGATATCCGGAACCACTGTTCTGCAAAATGCGATACCGTATACTTGCGGTAATTTATACGTGAGGAAAACGCGTATCATCATGTTCACAAAAAAACACATTTGGTCCCTCATGTTTCAATAATTCAACATTTTTTGGTCGTTTCCATCAATACACTGTTACTCCGTTAGTGAAGGCAGTCATGGATCGAACACGCTTGATTCCATTAGTTTTAACGAAAAATTGACGGAGGATTAAAAGTATTGAATTTTTGAAACATAAGGTACCAAATGTGTTTTTTGTGAACATGGGGATCAAATGTAAAATCGGTGCAAACTTGAGGGGCAAAAACTGTATTTTTCCCATAATAAATATGGTTATAAATAAGAAAAAACAGTTGTGAATGACTAAGATTGATTATAAATATTGCGGTTAAATAACTTCTTAAATTTTATTTACTATTGTTATTGATGCATTTTATTAGTATAAGTTATAACATGATTTAACCATAGTCAATTTTGGAGAAGAAATTGTAAAACTTACTCAAATTTGCACCGTTTTCACATTTGGTCCCCTTTGTGCACAAAAACACATTTAGTCCCTCACGTTACAATAATTTAACGTTTTTGATCATTTCCATCAATTTACCGTTAGTCTGTCAATTAAGTCATTGATGGGTATAGGCTTGATTCAATTAGTTTTAATGGAAAATTGACGGAAATGACTAAAAGTGTTGAATATTTGATAAATAAGGGACCAAATGTGAAATCGGTGCTAATTTGAGGGACTAAAATTGTATTTTCCCTAAAAAACACAATAATATAATAAGTAAATAAATGATAATGTATATTACTTATTTTTAGTAATATAACTTTAATGTCAATGACGTGTTAATTAGCATACTAAAAATTATGTTAAAAGTTGTTTTTTTTCTTGGTTATCGTAATTATTTTATACATTAAATATCAACAATGGTTTTTCTTTAGAGTTACATTTCAAGAGTTTTCCAATGATCTTGATATTACAGGCATATAGTGTATATGTAAAATTTTATTTAAAATAAATCCTCTTGTTTTAAGTTAAGCCTTAAATACCTAAAGTAATTTTAAATATTAAATTAGTTCTTATATAATTTTTATTACTTAGATTCCACAAATATGAAAATATAATAGTGTAAGCTCAAACTAATTCCTATTTACTAATACATGTAATGATATTTATGTTATGTTATATTAAAAGTATGATCATCTTTTCATATATTATAATTTACTTCAGAAGTAAAAGTTTATTTTCTTAAATTTTTAAAGAAAAAATATTTCACATAGAACTCATAATAGAGTTTTTCAATGACATATCATAAACATGATCAATATGAATGTTCATGTAAAAAAAGTTTAGTTGTGTATTAGAAACATAATGTACTTTTGATTTTCAAATCTGTGAACTTTACATTGACATGTCAAATTAATTAAGGAATATTTAAAAATAAATACGCATATAAGAAATATGTCTGGAAATAAGAAAAAATAGTCGTGAATGACTGAGATTGACTATAAATTAAATATTAAGCTTAAAATCTACGTATCTTTTTTTATTAAAATTGTCATTTTACTTAATATTAATTTTATGGGAAAATTATTTAATTGTTTAGAAAAATATTTGATTCTTATCTTATTAATAAAAGTAAGGTTGCTCTTAATAAACTCTTGAGATTTAATGGCATCATTGATTTACAGTTAATTTACTGAGACCTGTTATGGGTGATACAGAAGAAGATCTGTCAAACTTCTACATTAACTGGGATAAGATAAATATAGAACCATAATACATAAAAACATAAAATTAAATTAATAAATATGGCAAATAAAAGTTTATGGATGGGGGATTATCATCAATGCATATAGCAAAACATCAAAATGAAATGATAATTAAAACTTCAGTTTTGTCGTTTAAATTGAACTTTACTTTGTATTAATTTTACTTTAATCTCGTGCATCGCATAGGCCAAAAATCTAGTGTATAAAATAAAAGGTAAGTTCCAAATAATACGTAACATAAATTATTTTCTAAAATAATTTTTTTATAATTTCAACTCCGGGTCAAATTGCAAATACCACGAAATAACGGGCCAGAAATACAAAATCTGAAACCGCGTTCATGGCCATGTTTCCCTAATCCACGTTCATGGAAGGGCACATTATAAATAAATCCATCAATAATGAGTACTTATTTCATAAAGGGGTCCAGACAAAATACTTTTTTACAAAAAAGTCCACACATAGTCCAAAGGTTAAAAGACTAAAATAGCCCCGCACATTTTAATATGCTCCAATTTCATCCCTTAGTTTAATTTAACTTCAATTTGACCAGGGGTCCAGACAATAACTCTTTTACAAAAAAGTCCACACATAGTTTAGAGGTTTGTAAAAAACTAAAATAGCCCCTCACGTTTTAATATGCTCCAATTTCATCATTTAATTTAACTTCAATTTGACCCTAAATTTTAAAAATTATTCAATTTTGACCCAAAATATAATTTTGAGTACGATTTCGTCCTCCGTCTCCGTTGACCGCCGATCTCCGGTGGCACTGACTTTTACTTTTTTTTGTTTTCTTTTTTTTCTTTAACATCTTTTTGCCCCCGTTTAAACAAAAATATTGTTATGGTTGATAGTAATATTAACCATGTTACTGTTAAACACAATAATATTTACTACAATTTAACACAATAATATTGCTATATTAATATCTAGCACAGTATTATTAACACAACAAAAGTCATTATTATTGTGTTATAGAGTGATAATAATATGTTGACCTTCAACAAAGGTAAACATAATAAAAGGCCAAAAGAATATATTGATATGGTTGACAGTAATATTATTGTAACAACAATATTATTACCGTCAAACACACTAATATTATTGTGTTTACGGGAATATTACAATAGTAGATATTAATATTATTACGTTACTCCGTCAACAACTGATAATATTGATGTGGTTGACAGCAATGTTTTCAAAACCGGACCGGACATTGAACCGGACAAGTAACTGGGTCATGGTTGGACCGGTCCAACCGAGGTCCGACCGGGTTTTTGTATTTTTTTATTTTTAATTATTTATATATAATTTTTATAATAACTATTATGCAAAAATATATAGAAAATTAACTATTCTTCACATATATTCAAAAGTAAATTGATAATTCTATTTCATTTACCATATACGCCTTTATAAATAATAATTGTTTTATATATTAATAAAAGTTAAGTAAATAAATAACAAATAAAATAAAAAACTACAATAACACTTTTATTCAATTATTAAATATACCCTAAAGACCTAATACTGGTTTGTGAATACACTACATCACTACCAATTACCGCCGCCATCCACGTTCTTCTCTCTATCTGTACAAATTTGTTTTTTTTTTTTTCTTTTTTCTCTTTCTTTCTCAAATGCTTCCCCACCACGATATCTAATATCACGTATTAATCTTCTACGAGAGCTCCTTCAACAATACAAACATCGAAGAGAGGTATAAAGATTTACAATTTCTTCTCAGTTTTTTTTTTTTTTTGTGTTTGCACAGACCGGTTTTTGAGACCGGTTTTCGCCGGTTTTCTTCGGTTCAACCGGGATTTCCGCGGTTCACGGACCATTGAACCGGGTTTTATGACATTCCGGGTATTGAAGTTCAACCGGACCGGACTAGCTACCGGTTCGCGGTTGAACCGGTCGGACCGGCCGGTCCGGTCCGGTTTTCAAAACATTGGTTGACAGTAATATTATTAGGTTTACAGTTATTTTAACACAACAAAAGTCATTATTATTGTGTAATAAAGTAATATTAATATGTTGACCTTCAACAAAGGTAAATATAATAAAAAGCCAAAATAATTAATATTGATGTGGTTGACAGTAATATTATTGTAACAACAGTAATATTATCGTCAACTACAGTAATATTATTGTGTTTACAGTAATATTATAATAGTAGGCATTAATATTATTACGTTACTCCATCAACAACTCAAACAAAACAAAAAAACCCAAAACATAATAATATTGATGTGGTTAACAGTAATATTATTGTGTTTACAGTTATTTTATTGTCAACGAAAGTAATATAATTACGTTGACTTGTCAACAAATCAAACAAAAAAATGTCGATGACTCTAATTGTACTGTCAACGACAGTACAATTACATAAATGTACTGTCAACGACAGTACAATCACGTTAATATACTATCAACGGTAGTATAATTACGTTAATGTACACTGAGTGACGGTATAATTACTGTTAATGATAGTAAAATTACGGTCGGTGTTTAGCGGAGGGGTAAAAACGCGCAAAAAAAAAAAAAAAAAAAAAAAAAAAAAAAAAAAAACCGTTTAAAAAAAAGTCAAAATTAGATTTTTGTGATAAAAATTGATTAAATTGAGGTTACAACTAAGAATTAGTTATCCTTTATTTATAATATACATTAAAGGGATGACTTTATTAGCAAAGTGATATAACCATTTAATCTAAAATAATAAAAATGGTTGGTCAAATACTTATGCACAAAAATTCTTCATGGAGTATTAATTATTTAGTTAAACACTATTTAGTAAGTTATTTAAAATCGGGGTAATATGCTAAGAGCCCCTCAAATCAAACTTAATTTGAACTAAATGACAACCTTAAATTTAATCTTTTAATTAAATCTCTATTTTCAAATAATATATGAGCCACATCCTTTAATTTTTTTTAATCCCTAGTTTGCCCTTATACCCTAAATATAATATCTATATTCATGCACGTTTCTCCAACTTATCAGATCTATTTCTCTTATTTTCTTTTCTCTCTGCTTCTCTCTTGTTCTCTCCCTCTCGTTTTTTCCCTCTCTCAATCTCTATCTCTCCACATCTCTCTCGCCGTTCAGTAATGGTTGGGCTGGTGACAGCGGCTATGGACGGTGGCTATGGTCGGTGGGCTATGGTAGCGGAGAACAACAGATCTGCAAATTCCGACGGTGGATCGAGAAGATTTGGTGGAGGCGCCAGCGGCGGGTGGAGGCAGCGGCGGCGGGTGGAGGCGGTGGCGGCGAGTGGAGGCGGGTGGAAGGCGTGGTGGGGGTTGTACGGGCGGGGCTGTAATTATGGTTGATATGTTATGGAAAGTATTTTTTTGACTAATCAATTGAATCTAATTTCCTTGTGTTTTGAAAGTTTTGCTTGATTTGGGTTGTTCAAATGCCAGATCTAGGTTTTCCGAAAGTTGGTAGGAGACTATAGTTGCGGCGGCTGCGAGCGTGGGTTGCTAGGGTTGGCGACGACTGCGTTGGCTGCTAGGGTTTGCGACGGCTAGGAGTTTTTTGTGGCTAGGGTTTGGTAGTAAAGCATAGTACACTGTAATAATGAAATTTTTATAATAGTGTATAAAATGCTAAATTGAATAACGATAAAAAGGAAGACAACGGATATTCTGAAGAAAAAAAATATTAGATGAAAATATGAAAATATTAAATGCATAATAAATAAAATGATAAATGCAGTATGGAATTTACTTAATGAATTTTTCGAATTTACAAGTAATCAAATATTATCATATCGACAAATTTTAAGAAATAAAGACATAACTAATACTAATCTTAAGTATTTAAATATATTTTAGTTCATTAATTTCATTAATTATATTTCCATTCATTATTATACAACATATATTATTTTTCACTTTTTTCCAATAATTTTTTTTTTAGTTACCTCTCATTTTTTTATGATCCAATAATTATTAGATTGGTATGTTTATTAGTTTTTAAATTTTTAAATATAAAATATTTGATGTTTAGGGGTAAGTGTTATAAATAATACTTTATGGGGTAAGTGTTATGTGGGTTATACTTAAGGGATGCAAAGTGTATTTAACTCAAAATCAAATATTAGTTATTTAAAACCCTCAACGGTTCCTAAGGAATTGGTAAAAAACAAACCACATTGAATGAAAAAGTCTTCCTAAAGACTTGGTAAATAGCAAACCACGTTGAATCAAAAATTACATGCGAAATTAACTGGCTAACATAGAAATTTCAACACTACAAAATATATATATATATAGGTAACTCAAAGCTCTGTGTAGTAAACCCTAAAACTAACCAAAACGTTGGAAAAAAAAAAAAAGAAACACATACATGGCAGCATCAAATATTCCGCGAGAGATAATCGAAATTATACTGTCAAAATTACCATCTGTTAAACCACTTCTTCGATTCAAAACAGTTTCAAAGTCATGGAATACTTTAATCTCCGATCTTGTATTCATTCAAACTCATCTCCATTCCTTGAAAACCTCCCCGGATAATCTCTTTCTAAGTAGATATAAAAAGAGCGCCAATAGCGGGTTTCCTATGGTTAAATTCGAAGGTGGAAAAGTCGATGCCGGAGTAATATTCGTGGAGAATATTCCCAACAGCTACAACGCAATACTATGCGAATGCAACGGCGTGCTACTCTTGACCAGGTACGATTACGACGAATACGCGCTGTGGAATCCATCAACTCGTGAGACATTTCCCATAAATTACCATGGTGAGTTTAGTGGAAGTTACATTCTGGATTACGGGGTTTGTTACGACCAAATAACGGCCGATTTCAAGGTTGTCTTTGTTTCCCTAACCGAATACGAAATCTATTCGTGTAATAAAAATTCTTGGACGAAGAAGAATTTCAGAACGGACTACTATAACGTTGCTGGTACGGGTTCGGGTATATTCCTCGATGGAGCTACCTACTGGATTTTCGGGGAGGGCAGTCATACTTCAGGTATACAGTTAGTGTATTTCGATCCAAGAACCGACGAGATCAAGAGGTTGCAAAAGCCCAAACAACTAAGTGACGACGACAAATATCAGTTGATTCGCATGGATACTTTTAGAGGAAGCCTATGTTTGTACTGCTACAACAATCAAGAGGAAAGTGTTCAAATATGGATTAAAGAAAAGGGAATCGATTTAGGGTATACTAATTGGAAGGAGTTTATAACCGTTAGGGATTTTAAGCCTCCGTATATGTGGACCCCACTATGTTTCGTGGAAAATAAGGTTGTCATTCAAGAAGAGCGTAACAAGTTTGTGTGCTATAGCACTAATGAGAAAACGGTTGAAGAGTGCTTTGTAGACATTGATGTAAATTGCGGTAGATACATTCCATATCGGAATACTCTCTATTTTCCAATTCGTGTCAAGATGAGGACGAAGACGGATAAAGCATGTCAGATGCAGACATTGTTTCTTTCTTTTCTTTTTTTCTTTTTTTTGTTTTTTTTTGTTTTTTTTTTCGAATAAAACTTGAATTTCATTAAGAAACTGAATCAACGAGTACAAATTTCAATATACTCTCCGGCTAGAAGAAATAGCGTATCTAGCTAATGCTAAAGAGTGTGCCAAATTATTTGCTTCCCTATAAATGTGACGAGCTTCGAAACAGCTGAGCTTTGTACGTAGTAATTAATCGAAATAGTAATCGAAAGACTCTGATATTATCGACCCATCTTAATATTTCTCCAAAAAACGAGGGTTTCACCTTAAGAAATTATAAATCTAGCTAATAAAAAAAATTGGTTGCATATTCTATGACTTTCTAGGGATAAATATGTGTTTAGTTTTTCATATTATTGGTACCAAGGTTAGATGTCTAATGAAAAAATATTTTTTTTCTTTCAAAAGTTAATTCAAAATATTAGTTTCTAGTTCATAGAAATTAATATGCTGGTACCAAATATATTTTTTTTTCATTTTCGCTAATTTTTTTTTTTACAAAACCTGTTTTTCAATTTTGTAATTCTTTTTTTATTTCTTTTTTGTTTGTAATCGATATTTTTATTGTACCGAAATGACTACATGTAACTATAGTCGACTTGTCATTCGTAGTAATGTTCTTGTTTTTTACACCAAAGTTATGGTCGACCAATTATGTACACACCCCAATATCACCAATTATAAAAGAAAAAGATTTATCAACGCCAACAACATAATTCACAAAATTTAAATATTTATATCATAAATCATATTATAACCAACAAAAACACATCAAAAACACAATCACACGCATATGTTACTAGATGTTACTAAGTTCCGGGGTGGTAAGTTGGTACAAGGTCCTAGGATCGAATCCTGACAGCCGCAGTGTGGGAATTTCAACTCCAATGAGGGTAGGTTCCTTGTGGGCACCAAGTCCTGGTCCGCTACCCTAACGGGCCGTTGAGTTACCATAATTTACATTCCTCCATCAAATACGCCCTGTGGGCAAGGAATTTTGTCTTTTGGTACAAGATGTTACTATGTATAACTACTATATATAACTATATGTTATTATATATAACTACTATATATCCACTATAAGTTACTATATACTACTACATATATAACTAGATATTTGTAGTCATGTGTAGTCTGCTGCACATTTACAGTGGGTGTTGCCGATGTCCTCCACACCAAAGTGCAAACTCTTATCACCATATTATGCAAACAATTGCTCCAAACCTAAACAAAGATACCCGAAAAACGAGAATTAAATAGCCATCAATTGAGCAATTGTTAAGAACATGATAAGGTGAAGGAACCAATATTATGAAGAGAAAAGGCCAACAGCGGTGGCGGGAAAAATATTATGAGAAAAAAAATTCAACATAAAAATAAATAAATAAAAAGTCAATGTCGGAGATCGGCGGGAGAAAAGTTCAGTAAAAAAATTATTTTTTGAAGAAAAAAAAATAATTCAAAAAATTGTGAAAATGGAGGTTGACATGATATATTTATTAATTTGAGATATTATGGAGGAAATTGATGTAAATTATCTTCTGAGAGGTATTTTAGGCAAGAAACAAGGGATGAGATTTTTTGTATAACTGAATTTTGTCATATGAGTGCAAATAAGTCTTACTCCTTATAGTTAATTATTCTCCCTAAAATGGGTTTCTGGTGGCATTTTGTCCATTCAAAATTTAAAGATAATGAAGAGCGATGATAATTTCTATTCTTTTACACGTTTTAATTGATAACTGAAAATGTGATCAAACATGAACAATCATACATATCTGGTGGACCTTTGTTGGATGGTGGCCACAAAATTTTCATTGATGAAAGTTTCTCTTACAACTGCATTTATATCATTTATGAGTTTTTATGATTAGGGTAAAAAGGACTTGTAGCAAGTTTTCCCATTATACAATAGCAGTATATATGTACCGTACCAAATTTCTCAAGCAAGAACAAGGTGAAATACACATTGCAAATGGAACTAAATGCTTCTCTACTTGCCATAATCATCTTGCTATCTACATATATAGTCTTCAACATTTCCAACAAATTGTGATCAAGAAAAATAAGCAAAAGCTTCCTCCGGGCCC